TAATGATCAAAACTTTATGAATACACTTTTGAGATCTTTCCTCCAAAATCGTTAGCTTAAACAATGGGTTCACTATATATTATTATGGGATATCAATTTCCCCCTCTCCCTCTTAACTATTGCTCTTATATACATTACCTCAATTTGTTCATAGACATGAACAGGATCACTAATTCCTCTGTAGTTAAAGGCAAAGTAGAAGTAGACACAAGCACCTGCATCATAAGTCTGTGTCACCCTGTTGAAGAGAATTGCATTACAAACAAAGCTTTATGGTGTTAAGCCAGCCACAGTGTGACATGACATAATTCATAAGGTTACTTGTCTTATTTAAAAGGACAGTATCTTTTTTTTAAAGAGTTTTGTATCCTTTTTGTTCACATTTCATGAGTGACTCAATGCTATGACTGAGGGTTGAAGCTCTTAAGTCAACACACTTGACTCCTACGCATATAAGCAGGAGTAAACGTCAAGACTAATTAAGTGCTATGAATTAGTGATTTTAATTAATTAGTGCAATTACTCACTCTTACATGTAATCCACTTGCAGGTTAAACAGGAAGGTCAAGATTACTACCATTTGTAATATCATTAATAAATGCACTTTACCTACCAGCTAGCAAATTTAATGACCTCTTCCTTAGTTCCCTTACTAACCAAAGATTCAAGAAAAATGCTTATGTTAGTTGTTACATGGCTTACCTGCAGGTGGAAAGAGGAGCAAACTGAACACCTTTGTCTTTGCATTCTCTTACTATCCTTTCCTTTACATTCCTACAAAGGTCCAAAACCCTGTAACAGAAGCACATTAAAATATAAAATCTTAGTATGTGATTTTATACATCTTCCCAAAAAGCACAACTACAGCTTTAGTAATCGTTTTTAAAAGTATAATCTAATAAAACAGAAGGATGCCTTCTAGAACCAGTTTTAAATAGCTTACATTTTGTTCTAAGAATAAGACAGTCATCATTGAGACTTCATAGTATTGCTTTTTCTATACTTCCGTACTTTTAGTATTTTGCAAGGCCAAAACTGGAGATACTCCAGCTGTGCACTAGTGTGCCAGCTTGAAATGTTATAGTTCCAATAAGGCAACGAGCTATTAAACCTTGTCACAAGCTATACTGGTTGTGCTCCCCCCCTTTCTGGGTCAGAACCAGGTGCATCCAAAGTGCTAGGAGAGTTGAAAGAAATCACTTTTTCAAATGACTCTTTCTTTACTTATTTGTTCTCCCACAAAGGTCTGCAGTGCTATAATGTACAATTCAGATTTTTAAGACATTTCACACAGATTTAAAACTATTCTGCAGATTGACAGAAGTAATACACAAGAACTGACTGGTTTAAAGAAAGATACATAGTTGTGAGTCAAAGGAGAAAAACTTTCTGAAAGCATTTACTCTGGTGAGAGCTATTTCAAGCATTTTCTTAAATTCTTAAAAAAATATTCTCTCCTGAGATGAGGAAGAGGCAAAACAAGCTGCTCACTAAGCAGTTGGCATACTTCAACATCTATAAAGCTAAAGGAAAAATAGAGAGCAATTTTGCTTGAAAGTTGTCCTCAAATTTCTGCCACTCATTTAAGGTACTACACCAATCTTGAAAGCAGAGGCTGGGACTTACCACTACCGCTAAATTCAATAGCAAGAATACAGTCTTGCCAGCTTAAGTCATCACATTTCCACCTTCCACTTTGCATTAAAGACTGTAAAGCCTTGCTTCCTTAGATCCTGTATAAGAGGTTTCTGGCTTACCAAATGGACAGAAGCATCCAAAATTATTTCATATATTAAACTCTGCTGCAGTCAAGTGTTTCTCTAACATAGCTAAGAGATAAAACAAGCTTAGGAAAAAGACTTCTTGGGCAAAAGTTGTATTTTCAGTTCTTTCATTTCCCTGCATTACTGGGGAAAGAAAAAGCTTATTTACATATATTTAAGTATTTTTTTTAATCTTCCCTACAAACTTTTCTGTTTGAAATGCACTGCTGATCCCACACTTGCAGCTGCTCTTCACGCAACAGTTACTGCCACCATTGTCCAGCTTTTTCAACTGGGCAATTTCAAGTCCTGAATTAGTTACGGTAAGCTAACTTAAGTAGAAATATTACCAAATGCTGGCCTACACTGCATTCACAAAATCCTGATATGTAATTTACTAGCAACTTTAGCAGGAACACGCAGGTGCAAGACTTCCACATCAGGGAGCCTCCAATACACATAAGGCCTACATTAAATTAAGTTTCCCCATGAGCAAGCATGAGCATGGAATAACTTGAATGATCAAGTACAAGTTTTAAGCAATTCCTAAGAATAATCACAGTTTACCTATCCCAAGGAACAGATGTCTCAAATGATTCTCCTATTACATAGTAATCCAGGCCCAGGTCCTAATAAATAGAGAAAGGAAATTATCAGTTACATTCAGCATCAACATCTGGGATTCCATTGCACAGCACACAGCTAACAGTTGAACAACTTGAGCTAGTCTGTATGAGAAAAGCAGAAGTCTATTTATCAAAAACACCCATCTAACCAATACAACACCTAGTATAAATAGTTCTTTGGAATGCAATTCCTATCTAAGTAGAATAAAGAAACATGTTGCTTATTTTACATATAGCCTGCTGAAAATAAGGGAAATTCCATGATTGGTACTTGACAATAAAAGCCAAATAAAATCTAGCACTCAGGATGTACATAGTATTCTTAAAACAAAACAAGAGGAAAAACCCCCAACCTCTCAAACAGAAAGATTAAAACTCATAACAGCAGCTGCAGCAGTTCAGACTAAAGGTCCATTCACCCTGGAATTCTGATTCGAACCACAGCCATAAGCAGATGTCCAAAGAACAGCAGAGCTAAGTGAGCACATGAGTATTTCAAGTACTTTCCCAGCCTCCAATTACATTCAACCTGTAGATCTGTAAGGCTGCTCTGCTTTATTTAGCAACTGCTAGTGGATTCATCAATCTCGTTTTCTCTACCCTTTAACTGTTTTCTTAACAAGCACATAAAGTACTGTTTTTATGGTGTTTTGCAGGTGAAGTTCCATGAGTAAACACTAGTCAGAAACTGAAGAGATACAACCCTTGGGAGAAGTCTTGAGATATCATCCAAGGCAACCTGTGTTTAGTTTTCAGAGAACGCATCTTCAAAAAAAGACATCTCTATGTTTTGTTATATTAATTTACAGAAGTTTCAGCAGGCAGGCAAACGGTGACTTACCCGAAGGTAAGCGATGACAAATGTCAGCATATATCCTCTCTGCCCATTATCTTCTCCTGCTGCCAAGCCACTGCAATTAACAAGAATTTAATTAACTTTCCAGCTTTACATAGCAAAGCATCACCAGTTTCTAAAGAGAATTAAGAAAAATATTTTGATTATCAAACATGTGTGCTAGTTTAGCTGTCTCTATGTTGTGTCATAATAGCTGCACAGAACTAGACACATCCTTGACACCCTTGATGTTCATTTACAGGAACATGCATAACTACATTTCTAAGCATGTTGGATTTGTGCACCTGTATGCTCACAGGTTACTGGTTTCTGAGAAGAAGAAAGTGCTATGTATCTGACTGGTGTTCCTACAAGCTCCTATAAATTGGAGGGGACAGGAATCAGACATCCTACCAAAGGTTATAATTAAAGCATTTTAGACCATTAAACCATTAAATGGTTTAGCATTTTAGACCAGGTTAAACTATTAAACACTTAACTAATAGCCTTAGCTGAGCAGCATAAACAGCATCATCTTCTAACAGACAAGTTCCCCCCTGCCCTCGTAGCCTTATCTTGCATACAACATTAAAATAACTAAAATGTTCTTTAAGACCAAGAGCAATGTTACCACAGAATGTCAGCATGCTGCTCATATGCAATTCCGATTTCATAAGCTATTTTAAGTGGTACAATGAACATACAATGAAAACACAATGAAAACAATTTTCAGAAAGGATAGCATTGAAATGGATAAAATTATACTTGTGCATTTGAATAGTTGAGACTAATACTAGCAATAGCTTTATTTAAAAAAGTATATTCTTGATAAATCACACTTAAAGTGGAAGGACTGAAACCTCCTGATCATTACTCAGCTTGCCACTCCAATGAGTATTTTCTGTTCCTTTGTAAGAACAGAGAACAGTTGGTGGGATAGAAATTCACTGCATTCCTTTAACTAAACACAAACTCATCTTTTAAACAAGCTTCTTGTATTCATATGCTCACACCAATTCTGCATATACCCTTGTGACTTTGTCTTCCCCTTCTGTATAGAGTCCAATATTACAAAACAAGCAGCTTCCATGCCTATAAGCAATTACAAGAGCTAGTTTCCATTTTAATGACATCGATTCTGTATTTAGTCAAATACTTATTTTTCTGCATTACACAGACAGCTGAAGATTTTCAGTAAAGTTACCTATTAAGAGTTAGCACCAGTCATATTTATCAAAGGGAACATTCAATAGCTAATTGATTACGGCCACTTCAAACTAGTAAATTGAGAAAATATCCATACAGGAATCACTATAAAAATATGCTAATCCAATTTGTCCTGATCAGGTAACTCCCAGCTTCATATGAAAGAGTTCTTTAAAAAGCATACCCAAACTTGGTAGCAATATCATAGACCTGCTTTTCATGCTGAAGAACCTTCTCTCTGTCGCCCTCAAAGAGCAAGGTAGCTACACACAGTACGTTGGGATCAAATCCTTTAAACTGCAAAGAGAGAAAACTTTGTATTATGTCATAGACTCTGTGGTAGAATACAAGCAACAAGTTTACAAGCAACAAGTTTTTGCTTTTCATATATACATCACACACTCTGGTTAATAAGTGTTATTGTAACAAAGAGAAAAGCCCCCATATTTCAAAAATTTGCTCCCAAAACAATAAAGTTTTTCCTTGACAAAACAAACATTTACAAGCCCACTGAAATAACAGATTATATCTGTCACCTTTTTTCTCTTGTTAAGAAGCAGGATAGACAAAACAGCTGTCTACCTATGCTAAAAAAACCACCAGATCTTAAATGCTTTGAGCAACAGGGAACCATTTATATTCTATCAACAATTCCTGTACTAAGGCAGAAAGATGACTATGATGGCCATAAACATCACTGCTCTCAAAACAGTTTTATCAGCAGCATGCCACAGAAAATCTCTATGCTGGGAAAAGCGCTATGGAAGTAAAATGACTTCTAAACCTGTGGCAGGGAGTATACCCCAGTGGAAATGGGGAAAAAGCTATTAAAGGTTTAATAGTAACGCAGTCAGGCTGTCTATATGGCTTTGTTTCAGGATTAACAGTAAAGAGTCATACTTCTTGGACCAGTTGTGAATGTAAGAGCCTTACTTTCAACATATCTTTTTTATTTTTAATTAACATCAGTGAACTACCACACTACTAAGCAGGTTTCAGAAGGAATGGAGATTAATAAAAAGCTGCAATAAAGTTTAATGACTTTTTCCACAGTTAAAAAGGGTAAACCTATGACTTAAAACAACATATTCTTAATACGCGTATTGACCAGCCATTATTTTTTTAACGTCTTCCCCTTTCCAGTGGCATTCATCTCTTTCAGTCTCTAACCTGCTTGTGGTAACTTGTTACTTAAGCACCAAGCAAGATTATGTGAAGTTACATTAATAGTCAAAAGATTCAAATTAATCCTGTGCGCACAAGAGCTATGCTGAGAAAAATCCCAGTTAGTTGGTATTCCTTTTATTACTCCCTTTACTGAATAGATTAGCTGTACTGAAGTTAACTGAAGGTAACAGGAGGGTCCAAAAAAACCCAAACAAACAACAAAACAAACAACTAAAAAAACCCCCCCAAAAACCCAGCAAGGAGGCAAAGTATCTTGGGATGGCTTGGTCCTCCAGCCAATAAGCTCAAATCTGTATGGTGATCCCCAGAGACATCCAAATTAGTATTTCCAAAAAGGGCATGGAATTCTATCACCTCAACAAAACAGCACCATGACAACTACTGTGAAACAGAATATACTTCCACAGGCACAGGACCTGTCTTATCCATTAGTCCTACAAAAGTAGCATTGCTAACATAAACAGAAATAGTTACTACAATGATAAGCTCTGAGCACAGGAATAAAGATCTATTAAGATACTATCTACTGTTCCCTCTCATTCTAGAGCCACTTGTATTTCATCTGCTGTGAATACTTTAATCTATTCTGCCATCTTTTGGCTATAATGCTCAGGTAATGCCTTACAGTTCTTTATGGCACTGGAAGAACTCGCTACAGTGTGAAGTAGTAGACAAAGAACACAGAGCATTCATCTATCCTTGAACAGTCCCAAACTACACAGAAGAGTAAACCAGAAAGACTTTGTCTTAAGTGGTACCAGTTAAATGACTAACACTTCATACTTTTATTGAACAGTGTAGTTTGATGTGTTCTCTCTTCTGACGTTGACATTTTTTTCAGGGAGCAATTCACAGATGAAGTGTAAGATGGATTTGAGCATCTTGGTCTCTCAGCAGTACCTACAGTATCAGTCTCGGGATCACTGAACTTGCTCCTCTCCCATCCCAGCTGGGAGTTTCTCCAAAGCAGCAGTTGCTCATATACACCAGGGGACTGAGCCCTGACATAAAAGCTCCAGATTGTTCACCAACCTGGAATCTCTACATCAGTAACTATTACACAGCATTTCTCTCATTTCTCCACAAGTTGTCTCCTGCAGAGCTGGAAGAAGTGGAATCGGTATACAATATCCACTGGTGATACAACATCCCAACAGGCAGTGATGTTTGCTGCAGACTATGGAAGCAGTACATATTGCCAAGTAGGACTGTTTCAAACTGACAGCAATCTGGTTACCAAAATCTTTACTTCTTTATACATACCTACGCTACAGCAGATCATGGAGGGAAGACAAAATAATTTTGGGGCTCTCTTTAAACCTAACAGTTATTCTCTAGCAAAAGAAGTCCCAAGACACGTGGCATTTTCTAATTCAGTAGCACAAGAAAAAGCAGCAGCATCAATACTAGCTACTCTCATGTAAGCCCACTCCTTGAAGACACACAATATTATAGATCAGAATGCAGTGTTTATCTCCTCCTATCTAACAGTTATCTAAATCCAGGAGGATACCATTTTCTACATTTGGATACCTGTATTAGCAGGTACTGTCTAGTTACTAATCTGAAGGAAAAAAATCAGTAACAAGACAAATTATTTAAGACAAAAGCCTAGGCGAAATAAATTTAGCATTACATAATTCTGTGTTAAAAAGGGTATTGATTCGGATGAATTCCAGAAAGACCATAAAAACAATTTACATGGGCAATTCAAGACAAATCTTGAGCTTCTCCTAAAATTCTAGTTTACTGTATTAACAAGATAGCTCATGCCTTGACAAAAACCTGTGAAGAAGAAAAGATAAAGTGTTTGCCTCACTCCATCAGTATTAACTCATGATCAGTGGTCTGCAAGCTAGATAAATTGGTTCCAGTCTTGCTCTGTCACCTACTCAGTATTAGACAAGGCACATTAATCTCATCTACAGATATAAGCAGTGAGAACAGCTCTCATGGAATGACTCCTCACACAAACTCATTTTGGATTAAACCACCTTGAGAATCTCCACGTAACAGATAATGCAATGTAGGACCTGTTACGCTCAAATTCAGCAGCATTAGAGACAGTGTACCCTCCCCCAAAAAAATCTTGAATGTTATGAATAGCGTGCAAAAGCTCCAAACAGTATTAAATCCCAAAAGTTACCTTCGTGATGTAGAATTTTTTCAGTCCATCCAAAAATGATGTAAAAATGGAAGCAACTTGTGGCTTAAGAGCATGACCTTTGGCAAAAAGGAGAAAAAGGTGTGTTAAGGCAAACAGAGCTCTTAAAATTCCTACTTCAGTGGGCAAATTAAAAATAGCTTGGTAGTTGAAATGGCAAGAATCACTTGGAGCTCTTTGATTATCATAATTAAAGGGACTTCTCTCTACTCATTTAGAAGATGATTCAGGAAAAGGTTTTTATTCTTTTTTTAAGTCATTCATACAACTGTGCACAAATATTCCATTTAGCAATAAGTAAGGCGGCCCTAGTTTATATCTTCATAAGTATATGGCACATGGAAGATTTTAAAAGAGTACTTCATTAGTTTTTAAACTACAAAACTAAGTAAAATCAGTGACTTTTTTGAAAGTTATGCCAAAACCACTTAAACCAACAGCCAAAAATGGTGCAAGTTAGGAGTTAAGCAGTGTTTTCCCTAACGGTTATGTCATTTGTGCAAAATTTTCTACATAAAGCCAGTAATTGCTTCCTTAATCACATACGGGGAACTAAAATTACCAGGATATATAAACGGTGTCTTGGAGTCTGTTAAATTAACATCTCTGCCTCAGGACTGGGTTTAATTGAGATGAAAGTCTTTTACTGTTTGTTCCACTCTTTTCAGTCACAAGCAACTTCTGAACTCCCATTACTGCTTCACTTTAACAGTCTTGCATCTGGCCTACACGCTGTGAGCCCAATTCATAAAAAAAGTTATGCACCATTTACACGACACTTCCTTCTAAAATACTTCACAAAGTATTTCCTCCTGAATAAAGCATGAACTTCAGCAACTGATTACTCTCCCTTCCTCTTCACTAAAGAGGGACTCTCGCTGCAGAGCTGAACAAACCCCAAAGAGTACACCTCCAAGCACTTAAAACTACATTCAAAAGTACCAGATAACAAAAGGGACATTACTTTATTAAGCCACAATCTGTAAACGCGATTGGATTTAAGCCTACTTAATAATGACAAGAAAAATCTATATTGACACACCTGAAATTATGTTTTGCAGGTGACTGTATAAGCTGCAAACTCAGATCAAAGCTAAAAAGTAGAAGAATGATTTATTCAGTGTTGGGTTTAAAGTTTGTGATCAATCTAACTTCTTCCCAATTAAAAAATGAAAATACATCTGTTGTATATGTCTGAGAGAAACAGTACAACACAGGAGAGCAACCAAAGCAAGCAGCAAGGCTTTCTGGGCTCAAGCCTTATAGTTGGCGATTTCCTTGGTTTGGACGAAGTTCAACTTTCTCAGCACCATCATATTAATGCCATTTGAAGTCAAGATTCATCACTGAAGCTTCTCTGCCCAAAAGAAGTTTCAGAAATTCTGACTTGTTCGAGTGGTATTTAAGTAGAGATTTTCAAGGTCAGTCACATTCATGTTCTCATCTTCTGGGTACAATCAAAATAGCACGGTCTTAGCAAGACCTTCAAGATCTGTAAACTATTAGCTTTTGGGTAATTGAACTGTAGGCTCTCCTCAAGAGCATCTTGAGCCAAAACACAGCTTTCGCCAAATTTCCTACAGTTTAAAATAACAGCTTTCCCTAAAAAGTGCTCAAAAATGATTGCTCTGCATGTCTGATATTGACCTATTTAGTTGAAATTTCACAAAACCTTTGTGTTCAGTAATCTTCTAGCAGCTTCCTTGACTTTCTGTACCTAAAGTCTACAGGCCAGTTCTATTTGCATACAGTTATGGCATTTACTGCATCCGAGCTTCTTTAAAAATAGACAGCTACTTTGGACAAGAACGTCCTTGCCTCTCTCCCACCCCATCAATCATTGCCACATGAGAATATTTGCAAAGATCTCACTGCTTCTAAGGTATCTGTATACCACTTGTGATGCTCTTATGAAATTCAAAGGAATCAACCAATTTCCCTTCAAAGTAAGGCAAAAGCAATGCCATCCTGGGGTGTATCAGAAGGGCTGTGGTTGTAGGGCAGAGAGGTTCTCCTCTCCCTCTGCTCTGCCCTGGTGAGACCACATCTGGAATATTGTGTCCAGTTCTGGGCTCTCAGTTCAAGAAGGACAGGAACTGCTTGAAAGAGTCCAGTAGGGCCACAAAGACGATGGAGGGAGTGGAGCGCTTGCATTCCGATTGTTTTTTTCTTCATACTGGACTTCTAATTAGTACTCTTTGGAAAAAAAAAAAGTTTCAAGTGCTATAGTGCAAAACTATTATCTCTGCTCCTTTACAGCAAAATAATGGAATTGCCTCCAGAATTTTGAACTCTCCAGTAGACTGTATGTCAAGAATGGCAAGGCAGCAAAACAATTTTATTTATTTATATGCAGAGCATGACTTCTTACTGACTGTTGTATTCGATACTGTTTTCCCAGAGACAGATGCCTTCTCTTTCTGAAAGCTCACATTATGGCACTATCTAGAGTTTGAACTTCAGATTCATTGCCTTCTTTGTCTACTTTTGAGCAAAAGAATATATGCCTAAAATAGACTAAAGCTACTAAAATCAAAACCCTTGGAAACAGATATTTGTTCAAGAAGATCTACATGCTTACCAAACTGAAACTGTGCATTGTCGACAAGGCGAATTGATGCAGGAGCACATCTCTTGGGGTCAAAGTTAGGGGAATGAGAGGGAGGAAGAAAAAAAAGATTATATACACAGTTTTGCTGAATGTCACGACAATCAAATTTTCATTTAAAAATAGCATACAAGAAAGCACACTTTAATACCAGAGACTTATAGCCATCAAGATCATTGAAAAAGGGGTGACTAAGATTGTTTTCACTTGAATAGTAACATCTATTAGGTATGTCTAGATATAACACATTGAGAATTTTCAGTTTAACCTCAAGTCAACGCTGGAATAGTCCGAAGTTCTTTGACCTGCACTAAAGGTACCATACTTGATCAGAATACTGAACATAGCGCTATGCAATCAAATATACACATACATTACAAATCAATTGAAAAGTCTAGTTGTTGTGGGTTAACCCTGACAGGCAGCTAAGCACTACACAGTTGCTCACTCACTCCCCAGCAGTGGGACAGGAGAGTAGAATCAGAAAGGCAAAAGTGGGAAAAGTCATGGGTTGAGATGACCGTTTAATAAGCAAAACTGGAAAAAACCCACCAAAAAGTAATGCAAAAGCAATCATTTACTACCAGCTGACCAATACCCAGCCAGTCCCCAAGGAGTGGCAACCCCTGGAAAAGTCTCCTCTTCTGTTTTACTTCTGACCATGATGTTATACGGTACAAACCATCCCTTTGGTTAATTTGGGTTGGCTGTCCCAACTGCATTCCCTCCCAGCCTCTTGTCCACACCCAACCTACCTGCTGGTGAAAGTGAGAAAGGAGAAAGCCTTCACACAATGTATGCACTGTTCAGCAACAGCTAAAATACTGGTCTGTTAACATTGTTTTGGTCAGAAGCACAGAACATAGCACCACACACTGCTATGATGAAAATTAGCTTCCTACCAGTCAGACCAAATATGCTAACAGTCTGCTGTCAGACTGCAACTGAAATCTGTATCTGGGTCCAATCTAGAGTCTGCACTGTACAGAAACCTGAAAACCAGTAAGAACAGCTGTCTTCAACTAGGCAAACTTCTGGTCATCCATATGCCCACATCATGTAATCTGTGACGGCCACGTCCAGTCATACTGAAATATAGGGCCAGAAGAATATGACAAATCCTGAATTTCAGGCTAGCCTTCATCTAATCACACAGAAATGTAAGTACACCTCTATCACTTGATTTGACATGTTCAACCTCCATCATACCAATAATAAATATTTGGTCATATGAGAGAAAGAAAGAACATAAAGAGGAACTAAGATAGCTCACCAGGCAGGTTGACAGAAGAAGGCTGGATAAGTGGTTTTAAATGAGACCAACCTACCCACAACCTGCACATTGGTTATTCTTACATTAAAGTAGACCAATACAGACAAGAAAGAGCTTTTCAGATATCAGCATTGTTATTACTACCAAGAGTGATGCAAGGGGCAACAGATGAGAGGAATAAGTAGTTCAGGCTCAAATAAGCAGTGAAACAGCAGCAGCAGCAACAGAAGCTTAGAAATGGAGCAACACTAAGTGGCTAATAGTGCCTTTTTTTTCCTCTTCTATCTAAGCCCATAGCTAGGGAAAAGACACTTGTTCCTTAATTGACTTAAAATGTTGATCAGCCATATGATTAAGCATTCCTAAACAGTCTGCTTAGGTACCTTTAACAGGAAGAACAAGCACTAGCAGTAGAAGCATGACAGAAGAACTGGCAAGTGCTGCTGACTAGCATATACATGTCATTCACGTACCAGTTTGAACATCTGGCTTGGAACATTAAGTCATTAATTTAGACCAATCACTGGAAAAAATGTAAAGCTGTGTTTAGTTTGGCATTAATTAAAACATTTCTGAAAGTACTTCCCCAGTTCAGGGGTATACTCCTCCATTCATAGAAATTATTTAATATTTTTTGCACAGAGCAAAGCAAAGTTGGTCTAAGATTGTGAAGAAAGAGACTAGCCAGTGTAAGATCTGCCTGGAAGCACAACCACGAGGAAAAATGTTACACAATTTGCATACCCATGTCTAAGTTTTGCTACCTGAAATCATCTGACCACACTATTCAGAAGGCTCTATCTAAATACTACAATGTAAGCACAATGCCACCTCAAAATATCCAGGTCACCTGAACTTATCACCGTGCTTCAGGAATTATTTTCTAAACACAGGTCATACTCCTCCATTGCATGACTTTTGTTCTTTTGTTACTTCAGCGCCATAAATTCAACTGGTTTTTGCTCATATGCCGCAACTTAATTCCTTTAAATACTGGTCCCTTATACATAGTCCTGAATTAACTTGAGGATAAAGCTCTCTGCTGAAGGAGATGCAAAGCCAAATTTTCTGTGCCAAGATATGCAAATAACTCCCACTAAAAAAAAAAGCTATCAAAAGGCACATCCACCATTTGGCTCAGAACATCGAGCCAAGTCAACATGCTCAATCCTTAGTTGCACAATTCCCAGAAGCCTCATGGACCATATACACTAACGAAGTTCCTATTGTCTCAAATCCTTGGTTATCAATTGCTAGAAATGCTCGAGCATCAGCACACCCTAGTGCTAGAACCTGTGCTCTTGAGTGAAGTTAACATCCAGCTTTTCTTTACCTGCTTTGCCACTTCCCTTAAGCAGGCCACCCCTCGTTCAAAGTTGGGGAAAACCACAGAGCCATACTTCTGGTATTCAGGGACTGGGCGAATCTTTATCGTCACTTCAGTAACCACTCCAAGAGTTCCTTCAGGAGAAAAGGAAAACTGAGTAAAGTGTTGCAAGATGTACTTCTAGCAAGTTATCCAACTTAACAACTGTTTACCAGGACATTTTAAGTTAATATGAATCAGAAATCCCCAAAATCCAGTACTGCAGTAGTAGGCGATTTATTCCTGACTAATCACATGGTGAATTCATACAAGGTATCCTCTAAATCATGATGTTTGTTACTAGACTTGAAGGCTAACTCCACAGATCTGTTTTAAGCACTGTTCAGTTGCTTAACTTCACAGTCCTAACACAAGAAATTCATGCCTGCATAATGCCACCCATAGACACACGGGAAGCCACAGCACTAAAGACGCTCAAATCATCAAGCCATTAAAGAAGCTGAATTAAGACGCAGTTATGTGAAATTACTGTGTTTATACCTTCAGATCCCATAATGAAGTGATGGATATCAGGTCCTGTTGACATGCGAGGTACTTGACAGTTTTTTTCTACTATTCCTCTAGGAGTTACCATTTTTATATGAATCACCTGTTTAAACAATACGCAATGACTATAAATACTAGCATTAAGCAGATATTTTTGTATGAGATTTATCTTCTACAAAATGCATATTAAGCTTGATACAGTTCAGCTTTGTAGACTTTAGACATTCTGTAGGCAGCCCTAAGAACTTTTGGGACAGCCTGAGGACTGTTACCAACAATCATTTCAAACAAAGCACGGTTTGCCCACACAACAGACTGTTCCCAGTTCTATGCCAAATCAAATCAGCTGTTGGCTACATGCAGACAGTGCCAGTTAAAACTGTAGACAGAGCTTTACGAGTACTAGGATTTTAATCCAGAATATACATAGTACTTCAGAGGAAAAAAGCGAGGTTTAAATTTTGCTCAAACTTTGCTTTAGAACTGCTGCTTGATAAAGCCAATATAATTCTGTCATCAGTTGCTACGAAAATATTTCTATTAGGAAGAAATGCAGAAGTAAGCTCTGCAAAATAGGTTATCAATATTAAATCCGCCAGAAGTTTGACACACATATAAGGTTAGAAGGTTGGCTTTAAAAAAATATTTTTCAATGTTATTGGTCCCAGCTTTATTCAGGCACATGCAATACAAAGCCCAGATGTGGTTTTTTCAATCCTTTATTCAGCTTTTTTTTATACCAAGGAAGGGTGGGTTTTAGGGTGTTTTTGTTAGGGATGCCTTTAAAAGAAGCAAAATTACTGAACTTCAACTAATGGCTTTAAAGCTTTCTATTACCTAAGCAATTTTCATCCTGCTCCGAGTTGTTCAAGAATTTCATATTATGCATCTTACAAACTGTCAGTTCTGCAGTAGGTGGATTTTAGGCAGCTTATATGACACACCATTTCCAGATATAAAGTTTCCTCAGAAGGTAAACACATCCTTGAAACTTTCTCACTGTGGCATTTTGAAACTCACGAACTGTCCTGAATCAATTTTCAATCCTATTTCCTCCTAATGAAAATTTCAGAAGCTGCTTTAGCCTACAGTTATGCTTCCATGATAGAAAACCCTTCTGCTCCACATTTCCCAGCACAAGCAAAACCATACCATTCAGTAATACTTCAGGCAGCAGGGGACAGATGACGCTTCGTAAGTGCTAGTAATTTTAGTTCAGCCAGGACTACTGAATAAAAACAGTAGCTCCTGCCAAGCTCAGTCACGCGTAGTAAAGTGTCACGTCTGCGCACAGAACAAACACGTCTGTGAAATACGAGCTGATGAAAAAGCCTGAGGTGATGGGGATACATTACTTAAGAGTGTGAGACAAGAAAGAAGGAAAAAACCCACATGTGTGGAAGGGCCGTTGTACAAACTACGAGAGAAAGCTGCAAGTTTGAAGTAAAAAAGCAGGCAAAGTCTGAACAGTGATGATTTAACTTCAATATAGTCAATGTATTTGTTATAATAGAAAAGGTAGATTCATTTAAATTTAAAAGTATGCTTAAAAAAATAAATTACCTGGGTTAATATAAAGATGAACCATATTAATGCTTAAAACAGATTCAAGAGTTGAAGCTGCCATTCCCAGTCCACCGTTTCCTTCTTCAGGGTTCCTACATACCATGTGGTGTCATTAGATTTCACCATTGCGCACCGACATGGTCGATTAGATAAGCTCACTGATCTGAAAAAAATCCTAGCCTAGGGGGAGGCAGGAAGGTAGAAAGAGCTACCTTGCTGTCAGAGTTAGCTGATCCAACCAGACAACTTCAGGAACGTACAACAGCTATGAGAGGACACGGGCCTTTTGGAAGGACCTTAGAAGTTTGGCAGGATTATTACGGTGGATTCACAGAGAGCACAAAACGGTGGAAGTCAGGGCAGGGTAACACAATTCCTTAAGCTAGGCACTGAGTACTAAAACAAAGCCGACTGCTAGATCAGTGATAAGGATTATTAGTACTAACACCAAAAGCAAGCAAACAACCACTTCGGTCAAGAGTTGATGCCAAAACTGTACCATTTAAGAGAACCACAATTTACTATCCCTCTTCCCTCTCCTTGCAAGTCATTATAAAAGTTAAGCCTCCAAACAGAGTAATCTAATAGAAAAAGTATTAGAAATATTTACCAGATCTTCAATGTTTCCATAGATGTTTTTTTTCATGCCTGATGCTCGTGTTGCTACCCATCCTCCTAGTGAACTGAACTCCATGGAGTCTGGTTCATGGCCTGTACAGAAGCCACTTTCGGCAAGCTAAAGGAAAAAAAATGCATTCTACAAAGCCTGCATTTGCTAAATACTCCAAAATCTCAGTATTCCAGGGTTATTTGTTAAAAAGCAAACCAAAACAAAAAACTCACAAAACACCACCACACAAACACACCGCCAAAAACCAAAAACACAAAAGCACAAACACCCCCCCAAAAAACCCCACAAACAACCCCTCCAAATATCCTGACCACACACCCATTTATTCAGGTACAAGTTTTGTCTTTGATATGTAAATGAAATGCAAATTTATTCTGCTTCTTTTGTGCATATGCTGTGCTACATATCAACCTATAATACTCCTCCCCCATTTTTTAAAACTAAGACCTCTATTGTTCATAAGAAGGTACAAATTCAAATACAGACGGAAAAAAATTATAACTAAGTAACTGCCAACTTTGCACAAATGCTGCCAATAAATAAGGCACTTAATCTCTTGTTCTTTCTATCCTAATGTGATATGCAGCAGGTTTGCAGAAAATGTGAGCAAATTGCCTGTACTTAATTCTCTCAAGGAGTGATGTGTTTTAATATACAGCCATCTGTTTGGGCTTCCTGTATGCAATGCTGTCAACTATTTGTGATGCAGATCATGCATTCCTGTACATTAAGTAGTCACTTGTTTCTCATTTTTCTGTATTAGCTTGGCTTTGCCATCTGCACAGCACCTGAGGTTGATTGGATGCCCTCAGAATCACAACACCAGAGCTGTTGGACAGGAAGAATTAAAGACCCAGCAGTTTCACATTAAGTGATAACTGTGTTAGTGAATTTGAGATGATCAATTTGCACTGACCAACTGATAACAATCCAGTTGGACATCGGTATTTAAGCATACCGCATAATGTGGATCATTAACTACGTTCTGTTGTACAAAACGGTTCTAACTGAAGTGATTGAAAGTCACTTCTATGTAATGCAATACATCCAGCTGATGGTCCTCCCCTGCCAGAAGTGTTTGTGGCTTTAGGTGCTTACTGCTCAGTCACAACTTAGCAATTTCTACAAGTTGTATATAAACACAAGCACAGCAGAAGACCGTGCATTTGAAAACTTGTAACTGACTGTGCCTGTACAAAGCACTTGGTCTAAACTCCTTGAATGCTGTTGTATGAACAGCATGCACTAAGAGCACTTACAGGATAGAGGAGAGATTACACCATGTACTTTGCAGATGCAAGAGACAGCCTCATCCAGAAAACATGAGCATATACTAGCTTTCCTATAGCATCATGATCTGGTTGGTAATGCTTATTACAGAAAACAAAATCAAATATTGTTCTATCTTCATTATCCTTTCCTCACCTTCAGCCCTCATCTATCAGCTATTATTCCATATTCTGTTCTGACAAAAACAAGTAATATTCTACATTCCCTGAGCCTACTAATACCTGGAGTTCTCATCACACAGAAAATATTGCTCATCCCACAGAAAATAGTGTCTTAATCACACTAGCTAAGACAGACAAATGAGTGAAGTATACATTGATTTTTGAATGCCTCAATACAACATCTATAGCCTAACTTCTGTCAAATATCAGGTTTTCCAAATCTGTTAATTGATTAAAATTCAGCTCTTGATTTTAGTTACTTATAAGGTTCATATAATCTGTAAATAAGACAGCCTACCAAGTAGCTTCAGTACCCAAAAAATGAGGAACACAGTAAGAAGCAGCATACCTCCTTCACTGCAGATAATGCAGGTAAAGTCTCTTACAGCAACAGAGGCTGGATTAGCCTCCAATCCAAAGCTTACTTAATATTATCAAGCTGCAAACCAAACCAAATGTATCTCTGCATTCTACCTGTACTTCAGTGGGAGTCTGCATTAGCAGCAACAGCAGCATATCTGTTACATGCTCTAACCTATCTGAGGAAACTACCTCTGGGCAAGACGATCAAAGCATGCATTGCAAAATGACAATTTGAACTTTTCCTGGCAATTGGTACCAAGTGTCATGTCTAGAAACCACAAGGGTATATTTAAGGTCTGAAACAAACCATAGCTTTACATCCCATAAACTGTCACCTTATTACTGTAATATTTTGTGGCTAGAGCAAAAAAGGAATAAAAAAAAGTTCATCAAATACAGCATTCAACGTGATATGGTTCATAGCCATGCGTATAAAGTTTACCACACCAGTCTGCATGGAAACACAAGAATTAAAGCTAAAATTCAACAATTCAGACAAGACATAAGGACCAGCTAAGAACATGGAGAAATACTAGATGCCTGACAAGTTAAAAATACCTGTTTTTCCAGGTCTTGTCCAACAATGCCAGCTTCCACACACGCTGTTAAGTTCTTTTCATCTATCCAGAGGATCCGATTCTGTTGAAAAGCCAATCAAAGCTACAAATAAGTGTTAAAGATTTTTGTTTACTTCCTACCATAACGCTATAGGATCAACATGCCTGGTCATACAGTTGACTATTAATACAACTCCAGTTATTACAGCAACGGAAGCTGAGACTCCTCACTCCTCAAACAGCTACACAACAGGTTACGATTTACTCATTTTATTTATTTTTATTTTTGAGTCTGCAAAAACCAGTGAAGTGCCATAACAAATAACTTCCTTCTAGCCTTTCATTTAACCTCAGAAACAATATAGAAGAATAGTAGCTTCCTCTGATTTTCACTTAAAGCTGCTATAAGAAGGCTTAACAGTGATTTTTTTCTTACTAAATACGTACAGGTCATATGAAGTAGTACAGGGCTAACATCAGCAAAGTACTACTTAAACTGAATGAGTACCAATTTAATTATGCATGGTACAGATTTATACTTCCATCTCTATTTCATTCTTGCAAAGACAGAAATGTCATTCTCTAGTGATCACCATTCAATGTAACTGTTAGCACAGTTTAAAAAAATAAAAGTAAAAAACTGAGAGTCGTACCATTTGTGATGTATCCAGTGAGACAATTGTTCTTTTTTCTTCTTCAGGACATTCAAGGGCACTAGAGACACTTGTCCCTCCTGCAGATATGGGAGTGACATTTAACCATAAAATCCTCAGGTAGCTTTTATTCACATACCATTCCTCTCTCCCTCCTTCCTGATATTGCACTTAATAAAGTAAGATCACTGAAGTTCACTGTTTGAGGCAAGTGATTAGCCTTTTGTGGCTGTTCCTACTCCCAAACTGGGTTTCTCAAAGTCAGGGCAGCATTGGAGCTGACAATGGTTTAATGGTGCTAAATAAACCTTGAAATTCTGTGACCATCTCAGCTGCTTCTGTTAGGACCAGAATAGAGTTTTAAAACATGGAAGGATCAGGAATAACAAAGCCATCCAAAAAACAGGGACTATAGAAGCTATATAGCTTCCATATATTCTTTTGAGATCATTACGGAAGCCACTACTCTTCTACCTAGAAAGCTGGCTTAAGAAGTACCCAATATAGGAATGCAATAGTTATCAGAAAGCAAGAAAGAAAGGGTATAACTACGGAAAAGAAAGAAAACCAACATCAAACCTCTCTAGAGGTTTCTAATGTGTCTTTATAGGATGACACAGAACAGACTCCAAGAAGCCTCTGGCTCCCCAAAGACTACAAAAGCCATAGGAAATGTATCTGGCAAAAGTAAGAGCGTTTTAAGGAGAAACCAGCTCTGTTAGCTTGGTATTGTCTTCAAGTGACACGCTCATCTTCTCAAACAGTAAATGTCCTTACTACAGGGGCTATACTCCTGCAGCATAAGGAAGTACCAAGTAAAACACACAGATTTATCCCACAGAATTAAGAGTTCTTGATAAAAAGCTTCTCACAGAATGAGCTCACCAACATCACACATTCTCTGAGCTTTAAGTCAAAACCAGGTAGCTGACCACTCTACTTCAGATTTAGAGGAAAAAACATCCACAATTATAAGCCTGAAGGTGTTTAGAAATCCTTCAGGCTGAGGAGGACACAGATTATACAGGCCTTTACCTGTACTCTGTACCTGGAACATTCCCTGAAAACCCCTTGCCACAGGAGAGTCTAATCTAACTTTCAAACTGAACAATGTCTGAAAGAGAATTAGAATTACGGTTAATGGTTCTGCAGTGCAGTATCTGACCACAATCCTCCCTGGACCTATGAACTTCAACAGCACAACAACAAAAAACCCCTGATTTATACCTGCTTGTGGGAACAGAGCACAAGTAACATGTACAAAAACACGATACCTCTAACTCAGATATTTGAATCTCTAGTTTCCTAGAAGCCTTCCAAGGCCCAGAGGTAGACTTCAGGTTAACATAATCACTACTCTTGCATGTTCAATATTCAAGGTGTTGACACACTTTTAATGACTTCCACTAAACTGAATATAGCAGTTTTTAATACTGCAAGATCATTAAAAAATTAAGACTATATTTGAAGTGCTACTAAAAAAAAATAACTATTGAGTTATTGGTACAATATATTATTAAGATTACATATTTAAATTGCAAGCAAGTAGAATACATTTTCACCAGTAATGTTAAATGGATCTGAGATTTTGTAACACTTACCACCAAATGGTATTATGCAGAGATTGTGTTTGCAGGCTAATTCCACAATTTTAACTACATCTTCATGGCAAACTAAAAAAGAAAACAACAAACAACCAAAAACCTCAAAACCGTTAAAATAAAGGATTTGTGCTCAGTACTAATTACTGCAGTCTGAAGCGGCAGCTCCTTTTCTGATGCCAGCAAGGAAGACATTTTAAAGGGATAACCACTAAATAAGAACTGGGCTCAGAGTATCAGAGTTCCCGAGTAAAGTTTAGACCTGAAACAATTCTACATTTAAAGAACTGACTACAGCCCTAGTTTCCTGCTCTCTACTCATGGACTGAGGCCTGCAAATTCTCAGAGCATAATGGGCTACAATTAGTTAATCTGGGTATCTTGGAAAACAAATCAAATTTAAAGCTTTTACTGAAAATAGGCTGTCCAATTTATCTGAAATGAGAAATAGAAGTCTCTTCTGAGAGCTGAACAACACATCTTTCTTCCTGGCTGACACTCAGTTTTAAAAGTAGAGTTGCTGGTGAAATTTACTTTTTCAGACTGCATTCTGTATCTGGTCAAAGAGAAAAGCAAAAACGCTTGCACATAGGCAAGGAAAAGGATAAAAAAAGTCAAACACAGTGCATACATGAGTTTCTGCAAACAGCAGAGAATGAACGGGACTGAATAAATAGGCTTACGAACTCTGGCTACTTTGCTCTTGTCATACATAGCAGCTTTAAACAAAAGGAGTCAATCATTTTATTTCAGTTGCGTTTGGAGCTGCACAAAATAAAGCTGTGGCAATTCCTGTTCACAGTCACCAGTGCGGTCATGTCAGAACCTGTTCTGAAGTAATGAGACTCATCTTACAGTGCCTCTTTTTATGCTTCCCACATGTGACACTTTTCCCAGCAAAACTGAGCTAAGACTAAGTTCTTACCAGGAATTTTGGGGTTTCTAATGCAACACAGCCATCAAAGTATCAGGGCAAAAAAAAAAGGTAAGGAAAGTTGGATTCGTGCATCTGAACAGAAACTGGCAGGTTCCTAGGTCAAATGACTTTTTGGTTAGCTACTGAGGAATGGCACATGGGAAGTAGTTCCCAGTGACCAGAGAAACATGACTCAAGTAGAAAATTCACACAAGTGTGCAAATAAACTCGTATCAGTTTAAGTATTTGTGTCCTTTTGCTAGATAGAAGGAAGCATATTTTCTGCTACATATTATCTCCACAGCATTAGTTATTATTCTATTTAAAGTGAGCCTAGCCTGCACGCAGATTGCACTGCTCTTTAAGTCAATGATCCTTTGTAAAGTGTTCTGATAGGAGTTACAGGCATTATACTTTTTAATTAAAGCACAGCATACCATAAACCAAAGTTTTTTAATACAAACATTTCACTGCCTTTCTGCCATCATGTACTCCTTTACAAAACAAGATTCAGAGCGACATTTAGACAACTACTCTTGATGAACATACAAGTTCAAATTACACTGTGGTTACTTAAGTCATGAATTCAGCTGTCAACAGAAACTTCAGCTATATTTAATAATAAATGTGCCTTCCCCACAAAGTGATGGGATTTCACAGGCAGAACCTGCAATCCAGATGTTAAACAAACATGATTACCATTCATGAGAAAATTCCTTCAGTTTCTGTAAAGACAAGTGAAGTCAGTGAACCAGGAAACAGCTTCTCTATTACAAGCCAGCACAGGAGTTCAGCAAACAATGGCCTCCCAGATCAGAAAGGAGAATACGATAACAAAAGCTTACCAGGCCATACAACTATATCAGGAATTCGCTTAAACATTCCTTCCCTGAGTATAAATATCTCATGTAGGCAGTGACCTGAAACACAGACAATAAGTTAACAAGTTCAAACAAGGATGCACCGAAAGCAGCACAGTTACACAAGTGAAGTTCCCTTACCATGAGCTCTGAATACCCTATCTTCTGCATCCTGCGAATATGAGATTTTAGTGGCTCTAAGATCCTGAAGAAATTCTTCATTTACAACAGATGGAGGTACATCATTAACATTTAAGGATGCCTGCAACACAAGAACATAAGTTCACTAAACTTAGGTTTACTCTTACAGCTTTTCTATACAACAGAAATAATAAAAACAGGTTACACTAACTAACATCTGAACACAACCATTTAAGATCAGAAATACAGAATCAAGAATGGTTTGGGTTGGAAGGGACTATAAAGATCATCTGGTTCTAACCTCCTGCCATAGGCAGGGACATCCACTACCAGACTAGAAGTTCTCTTCCTCATCTTCAAGCACTGATCCCACTCGTCCCACCTTACCTACTGAGCTGACTAGAGGCACACAGGAAGTTTTATTTCGATAGCACATTCTCACCTTTTTTCCTCCTGATAAATCTGGAAAAATGTACTAGCTTATGAGTGCATACTGAAGAAAATACCTTCTAAGACTTGCCAAGATCCAAGAGAAACAGCTGCCTGAACAGAACTAGAGACTCTCCTGTTGATAAAGGGGTAGAGATTGACGGTCAAAATTCCTTTTTGAATATTAATTCCTCCTCCAATACAGAGAAAGACATACTAAAGCACCTACCCACCCTGCAAATTCCCCTACTTACAGTTCTGTTTCTACAAACTCACTTCCCCTCCTCCTGTCACATACTGGAAGTTAAATCCACCTCAGAACAAAGCCTAATCAGAAGTCCAAAGAAAGGCACAACTCAATTTGGCTGATCTACCATAACCAGTATGCTTTAAGTAGACCTCACACATCAGAAAGTCTTCATAAAATCCGTGCTCAGTTGTTAACATGTAGGTGTTTCCAGAAAGCCTCTAGCAAGGAGTCCTGATCAACACCTGGGAAAAAGTTTCTTTCAAAGCAGCTCCAGTGGACATTCTGGCGCACCAACAGGCCTTGAATCAAGGTTCTCTAAGTCCAGAGGGATAAGCCCTGCTTTAGGTTTTCTAACAACCCATTCTTCCAGGTCCTCACAACATGTCTCATATAGGATTCTTATGGCTTCTCGAAGTGCAGACCAAGCCACTTAATTCTCTTTTCTAAAGCCCACTTTAGAGATCAGGCACACAAAAATGTAGTTGTCATGTTGACCTTTTAAACCCACTTAGAGAATGAGGGCTCTTTACAGAGTCCAGTTAAAAAAATATCTTTGTAAACATTATGTGTAATGCTTCTAAGTGCTTACAGATTCAAAAATGCATACTGCTTTTTTCCTCCTTAAAAATGGAGCAAATAAATTCATTTATACTTTTCTATGGGTAACCTCCGTAAGGGAGTATGTCTTCTATTGCAAATGGCCTCTAATTAAGTAGTTCTCTATTTAAAGAGTTTGTGAATTAGATATAAAGCTTGTCTTATGACTAAAAATGAACTTTTATACTTTAACTCCTATTTTGAAATAAAATGTTGGTCAAGAATCTTATTTTTAATTATCAAAGTCCCTCAAGTTCAAGAACAGGAGAACTGAAAAATTTTTACAACCACATCTTTTATTTAAAATTAGGAGTTGCAAAAGTATTAGTTAAAACACAGTGCAGCACTTTCAAACTCCTGTCATTAAAACCTTGATACTAAATTAAACATCACCTTCAACTCAAATAGAAGAACATTCTTGCCTTTTTTTTTTTAAATAAAAGTATCAGGAGGGACTACGGGCTGCCCAACGATGCCAGAAAAGAGCCTGCTTGCAGCCCCACCACCAGAAAGTATGTTGTAAAAAACATTCCACAGTCAAGTAAACTTAAGACGTTTCTTTGATGAGCCTGGCCTATGCTTCTTGACAAGCACGAAGAGAAAACAAACACTGAATTCACTTTTCTTTCAACTTCTCAAGTTTCAGCCTTCCACAAAAGTGCATACCCACCTACCCACCCAAGTTTTCTTTCCTGGAGTGGAGTTTTGCCTGTCCTTGCTCTACATAACCTTCAGAACAGCTGGGACTTTTTGCCAACACGTGTCTTAAGATAAAAGATTACAGGACAGTGCCAGTTACCAAATGAACAGCAAGGAAAACAGATTAGTAGTCCCCCATCTGCCACCATGGCAGTCTGTTCTGAATGGGATGAGTCTCAAAGTAATGAGAGCTGAAGAAGGGAAGATTTAACCTCCAACAGCAAAGTTTTCAGGTAGTTAAAAGATCCATGGTGATGGAACCTGCCAACCAGTGTCCACCCCACAAGAAATTAAGTAAGGTTATGCAAAAATTAAGACTACTTATAGGGATAATTCAGAAAGCGGTATCTGCCAGGATAGGTTCATGACTGGTAGCTAACAGTTCAAAAGGAGAAGTTCAAAAGGAAAGCCAAGTGTGTGCTTGAGAGTTTTCACATGAGACACATGACATAATGAAAATAAAGTTTTAACAATTATTTGACTTCTGGAAGAGGGTATGTGCTGTTCTAACTTGCTTTAAGGATAGTATTATATTTCTTGAAATAAGGCATCAGACATCTGAGAAAAGCTTTTCCCTCCCACATATTCACTTTGTCACCTACAAACACAGAAGTTGAGATGTGCTGTTGAGGCAAGAGGACACTGCTACTGAGATCATGATTTTACAAACCAGTCACAATAAGCACAGAAGAGGTCAGATCTCGGATTGCTGCTCTTAATATTCTGCTATTAATGCACATTCACAGTGCTGTTTGCTAACCCAGAGAGCAGAGATCCAACAGAAACTTGAAAAACAGGCAGGTACCAAATAAAGATCTGTAAACTCATTTTTAGAAAAAAAATTCTCCTTGCTAGCTGTGCTTACATTTTCTATTTTAAAATCTGGTGTCTTCACAGATTTCCACAGTCAGTACTATTTCATATAATTCCAAGTTGAACACCAGGAGCTCGAGGATCTTTGTTCTCCATATGAGGGACACTAACTACTAAAGCTGTAACAATTCCTTGCAGGTGGTTTTAAGTATCTTGATTTTTACCTTTCTTCCACAAGTAATCCTTTAGTTTTCATCTTCAAGATTGGAAAACTAATATTCATCCATATCAATCTTACACACAATGTCAAACAAAAATATACCTTTATTTATTCTTATGGGACTGAAATACTTTTAAGATGTGTGCACTGAAAGGCCAGACAGGAAGCCTGTAAGAACTAGGTCTAAATTGCTGTCTGTGGTAAGCCTAGTCTGAAAAAGGAAAAACATTATCAGAGCTTGAGCATCACAGAAGTAGGTACATTTACTGTTAATTATAACTGAAAAAAGTTGCGTGCATCAGGGAACCCTCCAGTCTTATAGACTAGATGCAGGAAGAGGCGAGACAGAAAGACAAATGGACCAAGAGATTCCTCTACTTTTGTTGTACCTAATCCTCAAGTTTCTTCACGCTCTGATGATAGTAGAGGGTAAAAAACCAATATAGCGTGACAACTTGAAATAGAAACTAGGAACTATTACAGAGACCTGAAAACGGGGGACCTGCAGTAGTAGTTGAGAATAGCTATGTGAAGTCCAGACACACAGTGGAGACTCCAAAGACTGAAGGTAGTCAGCCTGTTTCAGTTCACAACAGGAACACCAGAACTAGAAGGGCACAACACAACAGGAAAGCATTCAACGTTGCTGGCAGATGTCCTGAAGAGCAAATGTTTTGCAAGACTAGCTGTGGAATCAAGATACTATTCAAGAATCTGTCCTTGTTCTCCAACTCTACTTCGTTCTGTATTTTCTTTACATGTAGAAAGAGAACAACATGTCTCAGGACCTCTAGTCACAGCAAAATAAAGCAGCTGCCAGTTAAGACGATCAATAATCAAGATGATTTTTTTCAAAATATATTGGCAGATGAAGATTCTGCAAGTCATGGCTGATGGAAGAATGCCTTAAATCGACAGACGGCTGACAAAATGTTCCGAGTTTTCAGGCTCTAAGAGATGACCTACTTCAGAGAAAAGAAAATCTTCAACTCACACAAAAATGGGTAAAACTGTTACTCAGAGCAGGGTTGCTATAGTCACTGTGCAAGCACAGCCTGCTCCCGGCACTGCTTAAACAACTGTCTAGTCAGGAACCTGCAGCCTCCAAGGAATTCTTAGAAAGCAGCCAGGTCTCCTGACTCCAACATGAGCTACTCTTCCTGATAAGCAAAACATGGATGCTTCACGAAACTCGGAACATTCCAAATATGTTGTTTTACTGAAAACATTCAATTCATTGAGTATTCTGGTAGCCAGTTTTCAGCACCCAGACATGTAAAAAAAAGTTAAGTAAGAACTTGGATATCATTCCATACAATAAAAACACAGCACAATTTAACTTCACGGTATCTTCTGTCTTTGTTATCATGAACAACACTGAAGTTGCATAAACAACATTTCCTCTAGACCAACAGTTTTACAATCTTGAAAAGCAACCTATAAACAAGGACAAAAAAAAAATCTCCCCGTGTTGGAGACTTTCATTCCAGTACTAGCAGTTAACCTGGAACCACAAGTCATGCTCAGTCATTGAAGGTTTCATGTAGAACACTTTTTCCAAAACTGAGGCATTAATATACTATATTTAAATCAATTATGTGCAAGATGACCTTCAGGACAACAGCTGAATCATCTTCAACAAGATGGTCTTGATCATCACCAAGACTAATGTTCAAAGGAACTGGTTCAGCTATTTACTTACTCTAGAGGTAGTTTTGTGCTCCAGACTTGCTCCAAAGGTTTTTTCTATCCATTCCTTAAAAGTTGGTAATACCATACCACCTAATCTGTACCTGAAAAGTCAATATTACATAGGGTCATTTTAAATTAAAAGACTGCATGTCAGATACACTTCTTTCTATGCTACATATGCACAAATAGTTAAGTTTTAAATCAAATTCTTTACCTACAAGCCTACAAAGCTTTTGCACATTTAGTTTTCATGCAACTGCATATTTCATTATATATAACTCTTCTGTACTTCACACAAAATCAAATCAATTTTCAACATCTTCAGTATCATTTTCCTTCATGATCTTTGGGAATTGTGGCATAAGGCTTTTCAGACATCCCACCCCTTCCAGCCTTTACTTTTAAGAAAGGTCTTTCCCTTTCAGTAATGTAGAAAGCAGTGTCACAGTTTACATGCTGGTTACAGGTAGAGACACAATGCAACATAAACAGCAGTCTCAGACACACAAACCCAGCTCAGTACACCTTACATGATTTGAAGAAAAACAGTGTTAAAGATTCTTCCCTCATCATCATTCATAAATATGAATTATTTCTATCGCAAACTCTTTGGCAACAGCTTAGCCACGTGACAGATGAAGACTTACACACAAGGGACAGAGGAGCTGTTTGTGAACATATGTACCATATGTGAAAACAAGTAAGGTTGAGGGCACACTTAAACAGGTACAAGCTACTGCTATTAATTATATACATACACGTACCTCGTGCATGTTTATGTATGCACAAGCATTCTCCAAGGAGAAGAGAAAAAGGACCTTTTTTTAGTATTAAGAGCTTCCAGCAGCTGAGAATCCTTTCTACAGCTTGCACCTGGGTCACAGCAGTATGTCTCATGGGTCTTTCTTCTATTACTATTATTCAATCATTGTTAAACCAATTATGATCCTGTCCTTCACAGCTGTCGCAACCAACTCCCGAACTAAGTCACTTATCACACACAAAGACCAATTCCTTTTGTTTCCTCACCTCAACTACTTCTTAGTTCTCCCACTGCAAAAAACCTTACTCTATTCCTAGAGACAAAAGGCTACAGCCATATCTCATAAAACCAAGCTAGACTCTTCAGCCTGGCAGACAGCATTCAGTCATTCTTGTCACAGCTGTTATCATATCATCATACCCATATGAAACAGCTAAGTGAATTCTATGAAAAGGAAAGTGCAATCAGCAATGTTTGCAACAAAGGTACAGAGAGACTCACGTCAGCTTGGTGTGTTTTCTTCTCCAGACAGACTTTTTGGTATTGTCAACCTACTACTATGGCTAGCTTGCCAGCATAACCTTAATCACTTATTCAAAGGACAAACTAAAGCTATCAGAAAATCAACAACTTCTAAGTCAAGATACAGAAGTCGGAGCAAAGAGCAAGTTAGTGAGTCTACTGCACAGAATGCAACACATGACTGCTCAGGAAGCAGGCTGTGTATGTAAGCTGATGGTGCAAGAAGCCCCTCAAAATACCTCCTCCCCACACACCCCTCAAAAAAACAAGTTTAGTTGCTCAGACTACAAGTATCTTCTATCTCCAGTGGGGTAGCAGAGACTATAATACAAAGACCATTTGACACACGGTCTGTTGGAGAAGCCAGCGTGGCTTTCATAAAGGGCAATCCTGTTTCACTAACCCTTGGAGTTCTATCAGTGTAAAAACAAAGGGAGTAAAGGCGACACAATGAACAATAAATTCCACACTCGTTTATACTTCCACAGGTGTTCACTTCAAAAGCTATTTAAGAAAATACATTGCTGCAGTACTGAAGGAAATGTTCTTATACAAGCTGAAGGATCAGACAAGGTTAAGGTAAGAAGCGAAGGGCAGTGTTTATTGATCACTGTCCACAACAGACTCAAGAGTGCAGCTTGTCACATACTGCTACTGGAACCAGTTTTACATCATGTCTTCACAAGTGATCTGGATTGAGCAGTGGACTCCCCAGCCAGGTAAAGAACATTAAGCTCTTTTGGGTAGGCAGATACTACACTGATAGGAAGGAACTCAGGATCTTAAAAAAACTGAGCAAATGAAGACAGAAGATAAAATGTAGATAACTGCAAGAGCCAAAAAAAGCATTACTTGCATATTTTGCAGATTCAGACTGGTAGCCAGAATAGGAAAAATCAGGGCATCTTCACTGACAACATACAACAGCAGCCAACAGTGGTATGCAACAACCAGGCAGGTGCAAGAAAGAACACAGTTCATCACTTTTTGCTGCTCTGTAGAACCCTGATGTATCCACACCTTGACTGCTGCATGCAGTCCCTGTATCTCCAAAAAGATCATCATGGAGCTAGACAGGGTTCAGAGAACAGCAACTGCAAAGACCAAGGGGCCTTACAAACAGAGACTAAGGGGCCCAGGACTCCTCAGCATGGAGAAAAAGTGGAAGAGCCGATAAGAGTGGAGTCTTATATGATCAACAAAGCAGCAGGTAGGCTGAACTATCATTCACCTAATCCTGCAACGCAGTAAGGGATACTTGGTTCAAAACACGAGCACTTTACACAGCAGCAACCTAGAACTTGCTGCCATGGGGTGCTGTAGAGGCAGATAGTATCAGGAGACTTTGAAAGCTGTTAGACAAATCTGTAAGTGGATACTAAAAGAACGAGGCATCTACATCTTTACAGATGCCTATTCTCCTATTTTCACTTCACTCTTCTTTTGCCACTGTGACAAACTGTTACATAGAAACTACACTGGTGTAGTCCTACAGGGCATTTCTAATATTATCTATCAGTTAGAGAGAGAGAAGGCAGACGGAGGAAAAATTGCCATTCTCCCTTTCTCATTCTAGAACAGTGACCAGTAGCCATCAGCCAAGCAGCAGTCTCAATGCTTCCTCCTGGGAAAAAAATGCAGGTCCAGCTCTTTACCTTTCCCCTCCCCCTTCAAAGCACACTGCATAAATTTTGTGTGCAGTATAATCTACCCCAGGTAACCTAAAGAGATCAGATGAAAGAGCAAGTGACAAAGTGACAAGAGTCAGAATCCTGGCAAGAGGAGAGAGACCACCAAGATGTCCCTGAATATTATACAGTAAGCTCAAGTGCTTAAGAGAAAGCTTTGCATTTTAATCTGGGACTGAAAATTATGAAATGAAGGATTAGTGCTCAACATCTCAGTTAGGTTTTTGCAGCTTTGACTCAAAAAAGCTCATGCTAGTTTACACAAACTCAAAGACTAGGAAGGAATTGTTCTGAAGGACAGTACTTATTTCAGAGTTACTTCTCTTCTCCATTCTTTTTTACTCTTACAAAAAGTATACTTTTCAACCCAGAGAAGAGACTGCAAGACTACTTTCCACTCAGGCAGGAAAATAGTAAGATGTCAAGTGACAGGCTTAAATCCCACTGGAAGAAAGTTAAGAGATCCCCAAGTAGACTTCATTTTCATGTAATTTCCCAAAAAATATTTATCAGAAAAACAAGCTTGCTGTACAAACAGCTGGTAAACAATAAATCAGAAGTGTTGCCATGACAGAACATACAACTGAAAAGCAGTTTTTATTTTTAAGCTCAGAGGATAAGGTAGCTCTATGCACAATGGTTAAGAAGCCTAAAGCACAAACTGGAAGTTTAATAAAGCAACTTGGTGATGCTCAAGAGATTCACAACACTGGCAAAACTGCCCTGACCTGCCGCATGTTATCGAAAGCTTTAGAACACGGTGCAGATTCTCAGCCTGATTTCATTCTCCAAGGGAGGTTTAATGCACAGAGTATATCAAGCTACAGAGAAGAATCACATTAATTTGCTCTTATAATACTTTAATAAACCTTCCACTAAGCCACACAGTCTATTTTACTACACATTAGACTACTGTGTCTAGAGTTCAGTAAACCTGTTAAAAACAGAACAACTATTTATTCTATGAGACAAAGCAAGGATTTTTGCCTCCTTTGGATTAACTGAACAGTGCGGTTTTTAAAATACTGTCAAAGGAATGACTAATAAAATACTTCAGTTATACAAATTTTCAACTTACCTTTTTCCTGTGAATTCTGCTTGACCTTTCTTATTGAAGATGAATTTGGAGTCATTGTATCCCCATCCATTCCACTTCAAAAGTTCTTGCCTTAAAGGGAAAAAAATATTTAAGTGAGAATGTTAGCATATCGTAATCCCAAAATGATTTGCAGCTATACAGCTTCGGAAAAAAGTCTTATCAGATAGCAACTGAAGAAATCAAGTACACACCAAAAGTGCATAACTCAGTAGAGTCATTCTGCAGCCACAACCATTACTACTTCAGAATGCATCCTAACACTTGAAAGACAAGAAGCTTTATAAAAACAACCAGCTTAAGTCAATACACGCTGTATGGGGATATTCCCAAAATGGCAAGAACAATGTTTGAAAGATGCTTGTTTTTAAACCTGTACATAAATACTAACACAAATAGGTAATAACTAAATATTTTCAGAATGAAAAAGACATTTAGCATTATTATTCTCTGTCAAGAATAATATTAAATTATTTGTCAAGATAATAACATTAAATTTTTGTTGTTTGACATCACTACGGTAAATCCCACTGCATTCTTAGTAACACTCACTTGAAGAGGTACTGAGACACATTTGGATTGAAAATATATTTTGGAAAGTAAAAGCAAACAAACAAACCAAGAACTGCGGGAATAATACAGCAAGTACAACCCAAATGAGACCATGCCAAAACATCTCTTAATCTGATAATGTCTTAATATGATAACGTTCTCAGAAGTACATAAATGTAAACATATTTAAGATTCAGAGATATGTAGAGAGTAAATACACATTAATCTAACTCTTTAAACAAAGTTTGCCATTTATTTACATTAGAAATTAAGCACTAACCTAAAAACAGAATTTTAGTTAATAAAAAGACAACGTAAAGAAGTCTGAAAATAGATTATTTACCACTATATACACACTCTGTATATATCTATACTCCACTATGTACAGCGAATGTAACTGTTGTCTTTGACTGTATAATGGAAAAGTAAGATCAAGGCTGATCAGGGGTGATCACTTCACAAAGACCTTGCGATTCAGAGAAAGCACTGCCTCAAATCAGTTTTAACTCCAATATTACATACAAGGTAACTGGGTGATGACTGATAACCAAAGGCCTTCACTGTAAAGATAATATTTCAAATGCGGTCTGAGACCCCATCTGGAATATTGTGTCCAGTTCTGGGCCCCTCAGTTCAAGAAGGACAGGAACTGCTTGAAAGAGTCCAGCAGGGCCACAGAGATGATTGAGGGAGCAGAGCATCTCCCTTATGAGGAACAGCTGAGGGAGCTGGGGCTCTTTAGCTTGGAGAAGAGGAGACATTCATGTTTATAAACTTGTAAAGGGCGAGTGTCAGGAGGAAGGAGCCAGGCTCTGCTCTGTGATGTCCAATGACAGGACAAGGGGCAATGGGTGCAAGCTGGAGCACAGGAGGTTCAATGAGGAAAAACTTTTTCACTGTGAGGGTCCCAGAGCACTGAACAGGCTGCCCAGAGAGGTTGTGGAGTCTCCTTCTCTGGAGACATTCAAAACCCGCCTGGATGTGTTCCTGTGTGACCTGGTCTGGGTGATCCTGCTCTGGCAGGGGGGTTGGACTGGATGATCTTCAGAGGTCCCTTCCAAGTCCTAATACTCTGTGATTCTATAACATTAATATAGGCTGCTGACATACTGTCAGTATCACAACTAAAGAGACTTGGCTTAATCAAAACTCATTGTCTTCAAACTGCCTGTACACAAGGTTTTAATTAATCGGATGGAAAAAAAAAATGGATGTGTATATTTCATTACAACTGTTTGAAATCAGACATTTCAACAAGCCTTTGACAAACGTAGCACTTTAAGCAAATTTTATAGACAGTTTCAGTACTCAGGAACTGATACAGTTTTGTGAAATAGTCTATGTTGTTCCTACACATTGAGGAAAAGATTCTAAAATTTCAGCCAAAATTAAACTGTTTGAGCTGACAGCTGTGCAGATACAGAAGCCCCCGTTTGGCTGCCTCCTCTCTCAATAGGCTCTATCTTTACACACACAATGTTCACCCAGAAAAGAGCAAGAATCCATAGAATCATAGAATGTACTGGGTTGGAAGGGACCTTTAAAGATCATCCAGTCCAACTCCCCTGCAGTGAGCAGGGACACTGTTACTAGATCAAGTTGCTCAGAGCCCCATCAAGCCTGACCTTGAACATCTCCAGGGATGGGGCCTCCACCACCTCTCTAGATGACCTGTTCCAGTGATCTACCACTCTCATATCGAAGAACTTTTTCCTAATATCCAACCTAAATCTACCCTTTTCTAGTTTAAAACTATTACCCCTCATCCTATTGCTACTTGCCCTTGTAAACAGTTCTGCCCCGGATTTCTTATAAGCACCTTTCAGGTATTGGAAGGTCATTATAAGGTCCCTCTGCAGCCTTCTCTTCTCCAGGCTGAACAACCCCAACTCTCTCAGCCTGTCTTCGTAGGAGAGCTGCTCCAGCCCTCTGACCATCTTTGCGGCCTCCTCTGGACCCGCTCCAGCACTTCAACATCCTTTTTGCGTTGGGGACTCTGAAGCTGGACGCAGTACTCGAGATGAGGTCTCACCAGAGCAGAGCAGAACACTGAGCATGAGAATACTCACGTTCAGTAGCACAGGAACGCCCTGTGCTATTGCACTGACATGACATATTGTGAAAAAGTGTTCTTAATGCATGTTATGCAGTCTTCTCTATTTTTTCATATACACATATAGAATATAGGAATACATTTATAAAAATTATATGTTTATAAGAAATTCCACAGACACTAAACCATACAGTTAAGCTGTTCCCAGCTGCAAACAGGCTGATGCATAATGGGCCAACTCAAGTAGCACTTATTTATTATTTTTTTTAACTAAAGGTTCCCCTCAAATCTCCAGCATTGCAATCCTCCTTAAGGTAAGATTTCTCTCCCTGTCGACTAAATGTAGTATTTCTATATACCTGATCTCTGTAGGTTGTCAAATTCTGTAAAGTCAACACAGACTTGATATTAGTAAGTGAAAAATTAGGAAGGCTCAAGCAGCTTCTTCCCTGATTTAGGCAAGTGAGTCCTCTTGCAAAGTATTGCCAAAATAAGTACGCCAAGTACAAGGCATGAAACAGGCTGGAGAGACTTGCTGCAAAGCTGGAGACAATCACAGACCAAGACCCAAAAGACCAGGCTCTAAAGGAACTCATGACATGAGAGACACTGATAAAGCACAGCTCTGAAGCTGTCATTAGTCTGATGTCAGTACAGATAGGCACTTCCCACAAAATCCAGGGGAGGTACCATTCATTAAGGCACTGGAAGACGCAGACACGAGGTCTGTCTGCATTCCCAGTTGTGTGCTTTTTCTAAAGGCCTACTTTCCTAGGTTGGTGTTAAACTGTCTGGCGCTTTCATCAGGCTTTAAAATACAGAATAGAGGTTAAGCATTTTAACCCTTTATTTTCAGGTGGAGTTATTCCTGAATCAAATAAGTACAAAAAGGCTCACTCTGCCAGACAACACACCTCTTGTTATTGGTGCAATAATTTAAGTTTGCATGGTTATAGAACAGCTGGTTCTAAAACCTCTCAGCTACTTCACAACACAAAGTCAGGAGATTTCCCCTCCTGCCCTCACATAACGGGCAGTACTGTGTCTTGTGACAGGCAAACACCACAACAAAAAGTTAAACATTTACTTTTTATATTCGAAACTATTCTGAGCAAGCCTGAGATTTCTGTTTGCAGACTGGAAGGGCTGTTTTCATAACAAGTCATCTTACATTTATTCTTTCCTTCGTTCCACCCTATCAGAGTACTACCAGTTTAAGAACTACCGTTTTATTTACTTATTGCGTAGGGCTGGCAAAAAATTGCATTCTTTTCTGGGTAAATGAAAGGGGACTTTTTCATGGAAAGAAAAACTTTATTAAACAATTCAGTGTCTGTTTTGTTCAATTACCTTCTGCCATCTTTCAGGCGACTTCATGATTCTACTCTCAAAAAAGTTGTTCTTTTATGGCAAAAAAAACCAGTTTCAAAAACAATGTGACATCCTCATCAGCAGTGCAGGTCTTACCGTTCAAGGTGTTTTGTAAAGAACAAAACCAATGGTGGTCTGATAGTGCCAGGTCTGGCGCATATTGTGGATGTGGTAAGACATCCCCTCCAAGCTGCAATAATTTTTAATGACTGACCAAACTGGTATGTGGTCTAGTGTTATCATGGAGAAACACAACACCTTTGTGATTCACCAATTCTGGGCGCTCTATTTGATGGCATCATTTCATTTATCCAGTTGACAACAGTACACGTCCAAATTAATGGATTGGTTCCTTGGAAGCAATGGAAAATACACAACACCTTTAGAAGCTGGCTGGGCACGGCTTGGACAGGCACAAGCTTTGCTGGGTCAAAAACTGGCT